TTTAAATCTAAGTACGAAAAGCTTTATTGCAGGCATATTCTTAATCAATTTGAGTCTAATATCGATCTGAAATGGTTAGCAAAATCTTATATTCTATTGTATAGGTTGGTACATAGTAAATCAGATTTGCTGTGAGTTGCGTGTTGGGATTAGAACTGCCTAAAATTTTTTTTAATTGTTTAACCGTTTAACCATTTAATTTGACCAGTATTAAAATAATTCTGGCTCACAACTAACATAATTCTATCTGAAACTATAGAACAATTTTTAAATGATTACCATAAAGTTCTAAATATAAACAACCCTTGGAGCAATTTGTAAAGCCAAAATTCTTGTGATCTAATGATTAGATCTGTGTAATTTTGGTACTATTCGAATCATTTTAATAAGTCAATTCGGTTATACAAAATTATGCATTAGATTACAAGAATTTTGGCTTTAAAAATTGCTTGAGGGGTTGCTTATTTTCAGAACTTTATGGTAAATAGTTCCAATCTCTAGTTGCGTGACTGTCTAAAATCTGATTTTAGATAGTTACCAGTTTTTATTAGCTTAATTTTAGTTTCACTAGCAACTTTAATATCAATCTTTTTTTTTGTTTTAATTTTAACCTTTTTTTTATACTTACAATAATAAGCTAAATATAAGACAAGTGATCAATTTTATTTCAAAATTATAGTGTAACGTAACTGATATAACTATTCAAAATTGCTAACATAAAATGTGAATCCTTCAGACGCAAGTAAAGTAGAAATAGAATTTGAATATCAAGAATCTAAAAATAATCTGGATGATAATAAGATTGCAGAAATTATTACAGACTTGTTATTGAGTAATAATCTTGAAGTTTCTGAAATAGTTCAGGCTATGGAAAGGTATATTTAAACTGTTAATGAATTCGTTACAACAGAAGGATTACTCAATAATAAAAAAATAATTACTATAGTATATTATCTGGTTTAATTTTTATTAGTTTAGTTAAAGCATTAAGTGCTTTATCATATTTGGCTATAAAGAAAAAATTTTGTTCTAGACAACTTTGCTTTTTTTTAATAATTTTGTTAGGTCCAAGCTGAGAAAAATAAACAACAACAGAAAAGTGATAATGATAAAGAGTCTCCTTCCCCACCTGTAACAACTAAAGAGGTATATAATGCAATACAAACTGTTTTACACTATGAAGAGCAGACAAATTCAGAATCTAGCCTTGATCTCAAAGAATTGAAATTTTTGTAACAAATAAGTAATAATTATAGACATGTATTTGAAAAGTCCAAAAAGCAAATATCAATTACAAATTATTTTATTTCTGAATATTAATAAGTCTTGTATTTAAAAATAAATGTCGTAGTTGAAGCTAAAATTAGTTGATACTGAGAATAGACTTTATTTTGATATAAAATTTTAAAATTTGTAGAATGTATTTTTTTTTGTTTTTTTTTTTAAGGGTTAGCTTAGGATTTATGGTTAGAATTGTTAATAGATTCCAAATCTCAGCATTATCTGTAACATATGCATGATCAGTATTTAAAATTGGCTCACACAAGATGTACATATACAAAAATTTTTTGGAAATTTTTTTAGATTTTTTAAAAATCTATTAAGTATGCAAGTAAAATTTTTAAAAAAATCATACAAAATGCATTTGTGCAAGTAATTTTTTTTGAATTTTAAATACTGTGTATGACTGATCAATATATTAGCTTAGTTTGAATTTTTATAAAAATTAATGCTACAACAGGAAAATAAATCTAACACTAACTACTAAAATTTTTATTTATTGTGTGCTATTTGTATTTAGTATTTATTGAGTCTTGCCAAAAATATGATATTTATTTCGGACTACCTTTCATCTTTTTTAACCTTCTTGTAGTTTCACAATTAAGTAGTATTTATAAGATCAATATATAAGTACTATTATAACTATTGTATGCTATCAAACTGGGCTTTTGTAATTCCTTTTAATATGAATCAGTAATTCTTTTTTAAAATCTAGCATATTGAGATTCATACCTGATTCGGTTAATTATACAGCAAAAATAGTAGATGTTACAAGAGTTGTTATACAATTGATAACAAATTTTTTTGTTATTTTACAATATTTTTTTGAAAAATTTATGTGCTTTATCTTTTCTAAGAAATGTAAAAAATTCTTTAAGAAAATAGAAGCTTATACTTTGCTTTATTTTTTGAATCCTAAAATTTTGTAAATCAGTAATTTGGTTGGCTGATTAATTATATTATACTATTCGATTAGTCTAAACAATGATAATTTAGTATAAAATTTGAAAAGTGCAATAAAGTATGTTAGATCAACTCTACCCAATAAAAAATATCAGACATTTGAGCTAATCAATAATCGATTTAACATAGTATGATTAGGAAAATTTAAAGAAGCAAATGTCTGTTTTGCCAAAAATCACTTATAACTAAAAAATTTTATAAGAAATTATCTTTAGCATTTTAACAAAAAACTCTTTCTTGAACGATTTTACTACTATACCCTACTAACACCTAACCCTAAAGTAAAGCTAACTCTAAAATAAAGCTAACCCTAATATAAATGTATTTTTAATTATTACATACCTGAGATTTTTTGTTGATTATGCTAGAAGAATCTGTTTAGATCTAAGACACTAATATAGTCTGCCCTTGTTAATAACATACTAACTGGGCTAAAAAATTTTATCTATTATAAATCTATTATAATAATATATCTGCTATAATGTTATATACTAAATGATTATTTTTGCTTTGATATTTGTAAAAATTTAAAAATTACAAGCAACTCAATACTAAACCGGAGTATACTATACCATTTAGCAACTTTAATTGAGATATTAATATAAAATTTATTAAACAAGTCATATAGAAATAGAAATTCTATATATGCTATATAGTCAGACCTCTCTAAATGCAACCTTTATAAATGCAATACCTCCCTAAATGCATGTTTTTGTTTTGGCTATATGAAATCATTAGTGCTAAATGCA